GAATTTCTTTCAAAAGTCCTATGACCTCTTTCTTCACGCCTGGCTCACCATCTTCTAATAAATTATCAGCATTATCAAGAATGAAAATAGATCGATCGGAAAATTCGCTTAAAAGTAAACAAAGCTGATCATCAAGGGATGGATGCGAAAAGGATGGATGGTCATTTCTGACAGATGGCTTAACGAAGCTTAGAAGCTTTGAAACGAGATCTGTTTTGGACTTCAGTTCACGTAATGAAAGCCAACAGACCGGCATTCCTTTAGACTGGAGATCGTGTCCGACTGCAATAGCAACCGATGTTTTTCCGAATCCAGGTGAACCCCAGATCGACACGAGCCGAGTAGATTCAGAAGTCACATAGCCCGTAATCTCCTCGCATTCGCTTTGACGTCCAGTAAAATTAGGAACCATTACAGGAAGAGAAGGTATGGATAGCGATGGTCTCACACCTGTAAAAGTAAAAATCTGTTTTCGTATTTTTAAAAGTGACATAAAAGCAAAATAAAATTCGCAGTCCTTTCAAACCGCAACTCGTTCCTCTAACTCACAGTTCTTTCTTTTGTTTATGCCTACGGCGTGACATAGAAAGAAATTAACATATACCTGTCTTCTTCACGTTGATCTTGTGCTACTTGCGATACGTGTGGTATCATTGGATTCGAACACGCTATCGCGTTTGATTGCTTTATAAATCCCAACAAAAATTTCAGTCCCCTGGTCGTCCATTAAGAAGTTAACCTACCTGTAGACTTCAATTTAGCTTCACTTTCATGTTGGGCTACTTGCAACTTGGCGATCTTCTGCTCTAACATAGCGATGTCTTCTTTGTTGGAGGTATTGTCAACGGTTTGCTTAACAGCATTTAACAGCGTCTTCATCTCTATGACATCTGAACTCATTTCCTCAAGGAACTTGATGTATTCCCGAGTCTCTTCTTTTATACTTTTTTCCAATCGACGAACCTTATTTGTGGGGAAGTCCGACTCCGTCAAACTACTAAGTGCGTCGATTGGAGCTGTTGGAACACCAAGAGCCTGAAACGCGTCTTTGGCGTAATTCACGCGCTGGTCAAATGTCGCTTTGTCCATCTCAGAACTGGTGGAGTGACAGAGCGAATTTCTAAGAAGGCGGAGCTGGTCAATCGCAAGTGCAAAGGTCTCAGCCATGTTTCCACCCGGGCTGACCACACATGCGTGGAAACTACCATAAGGTACTACACAGGGCTTCACGTACAAATCACTGATTGTGTTGTAAGAGCCTGTACCGGCTGGCAAAGCAAAAGACCACGCAAATATAGTAGCCTGAAAAAGACTGGTACAATCCCATTCATTGTAAGACTGGAGAACAGGAACTTTAGTCCTCTTGCCACTTTTTGCTTCTTCAGAGTCGAACATTTTTCTGACGGCAGAGGAATCGTCCCAGAGCTGGAAACCAGGGAGATGTCCATAGGTGTTGTCCCACATGGTTTTAAAGGTCTGTCTTAAGGCTTTGGGGAATTCATTTAACACCAAGGACGCAAACTTGAAGAAATTTAATTGTTTGTCACTGAACGGCTGCAATGCCATCTCAGGAGTCAATATTGGCCTGGAAAGGTGTGAACTGTTCTAAAAGATAAAAAAGAAAGAGTTGCAATTTCAATATGTTAACTATGTAGTCTGCGTAGCAAGCGCGCGTTCCCAATGAAGTTATTGGACTAAAGTTAAAGCAAGAGCAACTTCTCGAAAAACGCGCATGGAAAGGCCTGCTTATTACTAAAATTATTTGCGAGAGGGGACTAGGAACAACTGGTTAAGCAGCGTGGCATTCATTGAAAGGGACTGGGAAAGAAGGAAAACGGAGAAGAGATTGGGAAGAGAAGGGACCTTTTCTTCTGCCTTTCGCGTTTTCCTCCCCCTCCCCTCCCCTTTTTTTACTCCAGCTAGGCTACAAAATACTGAAGACCACTTGCTGAGAGGGGCTGGGTTTGCTGACTGAGAGAAACCATTACCCAGTTTTCACCCGTTAGCTTTGATACAACATATTTGCATTTTTATTTATCTCTTTGAAACCTCTCGAAATGTTTTTTTTTTAACCTGTAAAACAAAGGGCTGAGGTAAGAGCGTCTTTTTTAACAGTGAGCTTCACTGGCGAAAAAGACAACATTGCGTGACAATTTGTTCAACCTTGACCGCGTAATCGCCGTGTGATCATCTGCAAACTATCTTGTACATAAAGAATTCTCAATGACTCGTACTAAGCAAGTTAGAAGATTTCGCAAGCTTTTTTAGTCGCTTTGAATCAATTCCAAGCATTTTCCTTAAAGTTTGGGGGTAGACTGTAGGGCGAAATAATAGCGTGATCACTGAACACCAACTGACGTCACGTCATTGCGACCGACTTTATGTGTAAAAAGCAACCAAAGAGTAAATTTCCATGAAATCCACTGAGCAAAGCATTAGGAATCAGTTACGTTTATTTTATCTTCTTCCCCTTTTGAAAGAGAAACTACTAAATTAGTTCCGCAAGAGAATTCAGTTTACTGAGTCCTCCATGGCCATGAGGGCACGGGGGCTTCAGATCAAACCAGAAGTCTAATATGTCACCGGTTAAATCTACTAGGTTTAGCCAATTTACCAAGACTACTGAATTAAGAAAAAGAGACAAATCTCATTCTTTTCGTTGTTTCTGACGAAAAAGGTAGCACAGAACTACTGTAGATGACTGACACTTCCGTTTCACAAATGGTACTATTAAACTCGATCTCTTTCTCAATAAATCGATTTGAGCATTATGATTTGAGTCACGGCCCCGGAAATAAGTACATTCACACTGTTGAGTAATGGTTAGAACATACGACAAGGTTCCTAATAAATAATTTCATGATTATCTTACAACTTATGCACTCGAGCATAACTTAACCAAGTTTTTTTTTGAGAATTTTTAACAGTACTTGTACAGTTCCATGCCCTTCATTATTTCTTAGACGAACTTCGTTGGTGTTAACGTGAGCTAATGTGTTTGTAAACAAGTTAGCTTACGCGATTTACTTTGGACCAATTTCTACAGTCAAAGGCTTTCGCTTATATATGTTGTAATTGCTTGAGTTCGATCCAAGGTTTGGCCATTATTTATGGAGACAGTTAATAAGTTTCTTTCTTGAATGCAAGTCTTCGTTCTAGGGTACGATGTAACTCTGTTGCTAAGTGCGGGCAGATTGGATACTTACACTTAAAACTTAAAATTACCTACCTTTAAGACATTAGAGGCAAGTTAAAAGCACAATATCAGTGAGCTAATTGATCCCTTGGTTGTCGTCGTTGCCGAGATTGGGATGAAAAGCCTCAAGGAATAGCTACTTTTTGTTCTGATGACTGAGTCCTAGGTAAATTAAAAGGGGTTGGTCCCACAGGAAGTTCAAAATTCCACAGCTTCTTATGTAGATTAGTCACGAGTTCCGTTAGAAAAAAAAACCCAGACATTTCTGACATCGTTGGTCCATCATTGCTCACAATAATAAGCTGCATGTTATCCAAAGTAATATGATACTCTGTGTAAAAAGAAAAAAAAAGTTCTTGTTTTGGCGATACTCGATTTAAGTCGGGTTAGCCTCAATGACTCATGAAAATATTTCCGCTCATTGGAAATTCTTTGAAATATAAACAGAAGTCTACTACTAGAAGTTATTTTGGCAGTCCTCACTTGTCACACTGGGCTGCAAAACAGTCATGTATTTCCGGGTCTGGTCTACAGTCTTGAAGCAACAACGCCATTGAAGACACGTGGTATGGCGTGATTCTGTGGGTGTTGAGGGTTCTGTAGGTCTGGGCTTAAATCAGAGTGCGCGGATATTTTTCACCTGAGTTTTCTGTGTTGTTACGCCATACTGACGAGCCCCAAAGAGGGCGAAACAGCTGTCTATGGCTACAATCCCGCTCTGTTTTGAGTTCTTTCGGTGTCGTGTTGATGTCTTGCAGAGTTAATTTTCACGTAGTACGAACAGCATTGCAGTATTCTGCTTGCAGAATTTAATATGTCTACTTTTCATTTTTGCTGATCAGGTCTTTATAGATCCTACGTTCTTCGGTATATTCGTTTGCGGTCCTTTGCAGTCCTTTGTGGTTAATGTTTGTTTGTTTGTTTTTTTTATTCCAAAAACAGCTCTTCACAAGGTTGAAAATGGGAAAGAGCATTCTATGTGGGGTCCCCTCATTAGACATCCATGGCATTAGCTTAGCCAATTAAGGGGGCAAACAATGCAAGCAGACAGTAGACTGCAAAAACAGTCAGTTTTTTCCTCGAAATAGATGTACCAGTAACTGTTAGTTTAATCTATTTACTGATGAAAGAACAAGATGAGCAACTTAAACAAGAAAGTTTTAACAACAATATTTATTGAAACTGAAACAAAGTACAAGCTGCACAATAGATATGGGCAGAAATAGCACACAGCCAAAGAACAAGATTAAAATAAAAACAATTTTACAAAGAGCAAAACTACACACTGGAAGTTTCAGACTACATCTTTTTTTCTGCTAAAAGAAGTCCCCTGTACACTGGTTACAACAACAGCTCACGATGTCACAAAACAAAGAAAAAGAAGCATTGTTCTCCAACTGTAAACTTGAAATAGCTTAAACCATTCACTCTGAGACTCAATAATGAAGACTTGCGATTAAGTTGTGACTTTCTAGTCTGTGGATGTGACCATTCAAATGATGGTACTAACCATTCGAATGAAGTCCCTTCAGCGGTACTTTCACAGTTTAAGAACTTACAATGGTATGTTAGGAAATTCTCACTTTTGAAACTGTTTGGCAAAATCCTGTGGCGTGACCATGCCAAACCTCTCCATTAGTAGTTCTTTCACATGTTTGTCAGTACTAAATTTAACTTGAGAGTGAATGGGAAAAGAAAATTGTTGCATCTGAAAAAAGACTATTTTGAGGCTGCCTGAAAAACAACTCCATAATCTTGTACAAAACTCTCATGAATGTAAACTCTGTCTTGACTTCTGATGTTGTCATTTTCCAGCCTGCTTTCTTAACATAACGTAGATATTCTCCTTTATCCATTCCTTATTGTGAGGCTCGTAATATGGCTCTTTTTGGCAGCGCCTGTTGAAGAGTAAAAGAAAAAACAAACAACACAACCAAACTTTCAAGTCATCTAAATCTATTGATACTAATGAAATGTTTTTGTCGTGATAAATGGCTCAACTCTGGTGTAATATAATTTATCACTCACAGCTGACATAAAAAAAAGGAAACAAAACGTCCTTAATGATGAACCAAACCCTGATAATAGTCCATAAAGCAAAGAAAACGAAACGGGGATGACCCTGATAAATTGAAACTCTTTAGTGAGTACTTTAGTATCGTGTGAGGCTACAAAAATGTCAGACCCCTAATGATGGCCAGCTTAGGGACAGAGACAATTTTTCAAAATTAACTCAGATATGGGATTTTTCTGGAATTTTGACATTGGGTGCCAGGATATACAGCTGTACATGTATTTTCCACCTTTAATGCTTTAAAGACCATTGTCAACTTATTTTCTTCAAACAGCATCAATACAAAAGATAATGGGAATTAATACAATGCTCACCAAAGGGAACAAGTTCTGGTCTTTTGTCGAATTCTAAAGGAACTCTGTGGAGTTCAGTCTGGAGAATTTGTGTGTGGTTATTCAGGCTCAAAGAGTTAAAAAAAATTAACACTGTCTCATCAGACATTCAGGCCATAAAAGAAATTTTTAAAAAGGAGAAATGATTGCCAAGGAAAAAACTATCTGTTGATTATTAGATTCCCCTAATTTTGACCCAAAGAAATGCATAGGGAAGAGTGCAAAGATTAATGCATTCTGATATTAAGATTTACAGAGTTTAAAGAGCATTTTAAATGAAAAGTGATCTTAAATTTATGAACAAAAATGGTTCAGACTGGTACACTAAACAAGTTAAGTCTGTCAGGCTGTCAATGTAGTCGAACAGTTGACTGATGTCATAAGTGATGGATGGAGTGCTTGGATTGCTTCTTTTAAGGTATTCTTCAAATATCTTGCATACACCTAAATCAACAAAAAACAGAATTTTATTAATTTATTAAAATAATTTTATTTTTTATTTTCCCTCCACTCTATAATTCAAAGAATACAAAACTGTTACCCCAACATCTTTTACCGAGGCAGTGCAAGAAAAAAAACCGACCTCGCTAACGGAGCACCCTTAGGACCACGAAATGTCCACTTAGAAGGGGTGTCCGCTTTAGGGTAATAACAAATGAAGTGTTTTTATGTCCCTGGTACATGTACCATAATAGCCTGTGGCACAGATGGAACTAAACTTTTGGTTGAATCTGTCTGCGAAACAGTCCTACAATCCTTGTTCTTGGCTCCAACTGTGTACCAGGATTCGAGCATGCATTATGATTGGCCTGTTAAGAGTGCCATTGTTGATTTGCCAATCAGGTTGAAGGAAATTTGAAACGCATACAAGTAATTCACTGAGTCTGCTGGGGGTCCATCAGATTATGTCTGTGACACAAGTTTGTACCATGCCTGAGCGTAATCTTACTATAAGGTGTCCATTAATGAGGGTTGGACTGTAAGGGATTCCATACATGGGCCATGATTTCAAATACACATAGCTGCCATTGCAGACTGTAATATATAAAATCCTTACAAGTCGTTTTAGCCCCGGGATCAAAATACAAAATAGTTGTCCTTACTTTCCATGCATTCTTCTTTTGTTTCATAATCAGAGTATGTCCGTGATTCCGGCTTTGAAGTTGGCTGTATCAGGAGGATTGTGTGACTCTATAAAGAAACAAAATGAAAGAAAGCAATAGACCTCTTTAGCTTGTATGTTACGTTTTCCCAATAGAGGTAAAAGGGGAACCTGACCCTTTGTCTTTTCAGAAATTATGCATACATGCGGAGACAGCATGGCCGGGTGGTTAGAGTGCTGGACTTGTTCTAGGTAGTCCTGAGTTCAAATCCTCGACCACGCTTGTAAATAGCCAACTGGTTTGCCTCTGGGCAGCTGGGATTCTTAAGAGCCCATGACTGTAAATATCGAGAATCGCTGGCCAGGCTAAAAAAATCGAAAATTCTGATAATTTGTCAGAAAAACCCCATTGGGGAACTATCTTCGAAAAAAATATTTTCAACTTTCAAGAATCTATCGTTTTCGAGAAAATGAGAAAAAACGAAAATAGCGGTTTTTGCCTTAAATTAATTATGCAAAAATTAGAGTAAAAATTACCTACTTTATCGCGTCTATACCGAAGCAAGATTCAAAGCTATAAATCAGAAGTATTTTTGTTTAAAAGCATTCTATCTTTTCTTTCTATCCATGGTATGTTTTAAACCATAAACTTGATTTTGAATTTTTTATGGTTTTTTAAAAACTACCATCAATGGCACTTTTTAAAATGGCTAAAAAATGAGCAACTTCGGAGGCAAAAAACTCACCTTGGCGTGTGTGATACCTAGCCAAAATTTATACTAGGACAAAGTTCAGCTCTTATATTTACAGAATATGAATTAAAAAATCTGGGTACTCCGGATTCGCCTTTACAAAATAAAAAGTTTCGTGACCACCAGTGGAAAAATGTCACAAATTTGCATAAGTTAAATTTGTAGAGAAATGTTGCGGCAGCCAGTTTTGTTTCAATTCAGGGTTAGTATGGAATGTAAAAAAACGTTTTTTGATAAAGTTTATGTTAAAATATCAGAGTAATTAACCGTTCACAAAAAAATAATAATAAAAAACCGACCTCGTAGAAGCATTATATAAAAGCACCGAATTATTATGTAAACTATATCCCATGTCTCTCGTTTCGTTTCCTATTTTCCTTGTATTAGCATCCATCTGTATTATCGTAAATTCGCCTCCGGTATGTCTAAAATAGGTAGGTACATTTTCCTTGAAATTTTATTTGCGAACGGGATACACTGCGTAAGAGGAAGTCATAAACTAAAAGTTGGAGCAACAATGTCACGCAACGACGTCTCGAGCAGCTCTGCCTTCTTTCACTGATTTGTTTCTCCTTATCAAATTTTATGAACCAAAACAAGTTCCAACCGACACCGCCGAAGAACTGGAAAAGGAGACTGCAGTCGAACCTCCCGAAAGCGACCACCCAAAATGCGCAGACTTAGTGGTCGCTAACAGGAGGTGGTCTCTTATGAGAATCGAACCACAGGAGGTTTCTTTGAGAAGAAAACTGGACACATCTACTTTAAGGAAGATAATTTATTGCGTGCAATTTCCACTGTGTTGTTACGCCATACTGACGAGCCCCAAAGAGGGCGAAACAGCTGTCTATGGCTACAATCCCGCTCTGTTTTGAGTTCTTTCGGTGTCGTGTTGATGTCTTGCAGAGTTAATTTTCACGTAGTACGAACAGCATTGCAGTATTCTGCTTGCAGAATTTAATATGTCTACTTTTCATTTTTGCTGATCAGGTCTTTATAGATCCTACGTTCTTCGGTATATTCGTTTGCGGTCCTTTGCAGTCCTTTGTGGTTAATGTTTGTTTGTTTGTTTTTTTTATTCCAAAAACAGCTCTTCACAAGGTTGAAAATGGGAAAGAGCATTCTATGTGGGGTCCCCTCATTAGACATCCATGGCATTAGCTTAGCCAATTAAGGGGGCAAACAATGCAAGCAGACAGTAGACTGCAAAAACAGTCAGTTTTTTCCTCGAAATAGATGTACCAGTAACTGTTAGTTTAATCTATTTACTGATGAAAGAACAAGATGAGCAACTTAAACAAGAAAGTTTTAACAACAATATTTATTGAAACTGAAACAAAGTACAAGCTGCACAATAGATATGGGCAGAAATAGCACACAGCCAAAGAACAAGATTAAAATAAAAACAATTTTACAAAGAGCAAAACTACACACTGGAAGTTTCAGACTACATCTTTTTTTCTGCTAAAAGAAGTCCCCTGTACACTGGTTACAACAACAGCTCACGATGTCACAAAACAAAGAAAAAGAAGCATTGTTCTCCAACTGTAAACTTGAAATAGCTTAAACCATTCACTCTGAGACTCAATAATGAAGACTTGCGATTAAGTTGTGACTTTCTAGTCTGTGGATGTGACCATTCAAATGATGGTACTAACCATTCGAATGAAGTCCCTTCAGCGGTACTTTCACAGTTTAAGAACTTACAATGGTATGTTAGGAAATTCTCACTTTTGAAACTGTTTGGCAAAATCCTGTGGCGTGACCATGCCAAACCTCTCCATTAGTAGTTCTTTCACATGTTTGTCAGTACTAAATTTAACTTGAGAGTGAATGGGAAAAGAAAATTGTTGCATCTGAAAAAAGACTATTTTGAGGCTGCCTGAAAAACAACTCCATAATCTTGTACAAAACTCTCATGAATGTAAACTCTGTCTTGACTTCTGATGTTGTCATTTTCCAGCCTGCTTTCTTAACATAACGTAGATATTCTCCTTTATCCATTCCTTATTGTGAGGCTCGTAATATGGCTCTTTTTGGCAGCGCCTGTTGAAGAGTAAAAGAAAAAACAAACAACACAACCAAACTTTCAAGTCATCCAAATCTATAGATACTAATGAAATGTTTTTGTCGTGATAAATGGCTCAACTCTGGTGTAATATAATTTATCACTCCCAGCTGACATAAAAAAAAGGAAACAAAACGTCCTTAATGATGAACCAAACCCTGATAATAGTCTATAAAGCAAAGAAAACGAAACGGGGATGACCCTGATAAATAGAAACTCTTTAGTGAGTACTTTAGTATCGTGTGAGGCTACAAAAATGTCAGACCCCTAATGATGGCCAGCTTAGGGACAGAGACAATTTTTCAAAATTAACTCAGATATGGGATTTTTCTGGAATTTTGACATTGGGTGCCAGGATATACAGCTGTACATGTATTTTCCACCTTTAATGCTTTAAAGACCATTGTCAACTTATTTTCTTCAAACAGCATCAATACAAAAGATAATGGGAATTAATACAATGCTCACCAAAGGGAACAAGTTCTGGTCTTTTGTCGAATTCTAAAGGAACTCTGTGGAGTTCAGTCTGGAGAATTTGTGTGTGGTTATTCAGGCTCAAAGAGTTAAAAAAAATTAACACTGTCTCATCAGACATTCAGGCCATAAAAGAAATTTTTAAAAAGGAGAAATGATTGCCAAGGAAAAAACTATCTGTTGATTATTAGATTCCCCTAATTTTGACCCAAAGAAATGCATAGGGAAGAGTGCAAAGATTAATGCATTCTGATATTAAGATTTACAGAGTTTAAAGAGCATTTTAAATGAAAAGTGATCTTAAATTTATGAACAAAAATGGTTCAGACTGGTACACTAAACAAGTTAAGTCTGTCAGGCTGTCAATGTAGTCGAACAGTTGACTGATGTCATAAGTGATGGATGGAGTGCTTGGATTGCTTCTTTTAAGGTATTCTTCAAATATCTTGCATACACCTAAATCAACAAAAAACAGAATTTTATTAATTTATTAAAATAATTTTATTTTTTATTTTCCCTCCACTCTATAATTCAAAGAATACAAAACTGTTACCCCAACATCTTTTACCGAGGCAGTGCAAGAAAAAAAACCGACCTCGCTAACGGAGCACCCTTAGGACCACGAAATGTCCACTTAGAAGGGGTGTCCGCTTTAGGGTAATAACAAATGAAGTGTTTTTATGTCCCTGGTACATGTACCATAATAGCCTGTGGCACAGATGGAACTAAACTTTTGGTTGAATCTGTCTGCGAAACAGTCCTACAATCCTTGTTCTTGGCTCCAACTGTGTACCAGGATTCGAGCATGCATTATGATTGGCCTGTTAAGAGTGCCATTGTTGATTTGCCAATCAGGTTGAAGGAAATTTGAAACGCATACAAGTAATTCACTGAGTCTGCTGGGGGTCCATCAGATTATGTCTGTGACACAAGTTTGTACCATGCCTGAGCGTAATCTTACTATAAGGTGTCCATTAATGAGGGTTGGACTGTAAGGGATTCCATACATGGGCCATGATTTCAAATACACATAGCTGCCATTGCAGACTGTAATATATAAAATCCTTACAAGTCGTTTTAGCCCCGGGATCAAAATACAAAATAGTTGTCCTTACTTTCCATGCATTCTTCTTTTGTTTCATAATCAGAGTATGTCCGTGATTCCGGCTTTGAAGTTGGCTGTATCAGGAGGATTGTGTGACTCTATAAAGAAACAAAATGAAAGAAAGCAATAGACCTCTTTAGCTTGTATGTTACGTTTTCCCAATAGAGGTAAAAGGGGAACCTGACCCTTTGTCTTTTCAGAAATTATGCATACATGCGGAGACAGCATGGCCGGGTGGTTAGAGTGCTGGACTTGTTCTAGGTAGTCCTGAGTTCAAATCCTCGACCACGCTTGTAAATAGCCAACTGGTTTGCCTCTGGGCAGCTGGGATTCTTAAGAGCCCATGACTGTAAATATCGAGAATCGCTGGCCAGGCTAAAAAAATCGAAAATTCTGATAATTTGTCAGAAAAACCCCATTGGGGAACTATCTTCGAAAAAAATATTTTCAACTTTCAAGAATCTATCGTTTTCGAGAAAATGAGAAAAAACGAAAATAGCGGTTTTTGCCTTAAATTAATTATGCAAAAATTAGAGTAAAAATTACCTACTTTATCGCGTCTATACCGAAGCAAGATTCAAAGCTATAAATCAGAAGTATTTTTGTTTAAAAGCATTCTATCTTTTCTTTCTATCCATGGTATGTTTTAAACCATAAACTTGATTTTGAATTTTTTATGGTTTTTTAAAAACTACCATCAATGGCACTTTTTAAAATGGCTAAAAAATGAGCAACTTCGGAGGCAAAAAACTCACCTTGGCGTGTGTGATACCTAGCCAAAATTTATACTAGGACAAAGTTCAGCTCTTATNATGCCTTTTAATGCCCTTGTTTTTACTTTACGCTCCAAAGTAGAATTAAATTGGACACGCGCTATTCGACACGTGATAGCTCAATCCGTACAATTTAGTAGAATTGCCAAAAAACTGAACATAGATTAGTGCCAATTTTTTTCTCATCGAAAGGAAGCACTGTCCTTATTAAAATCATGAAATAAAAAATGGGGGTCACCGTGCTCGTTTTTGCGGTAGAGCTGCAGAGAGTGCGAGCCAAATGCATTTTCCTTGACTTTTGAGAGAGGACTGGGGTGAGTTTCAAAATAGAATGTATGTGAAAGGGGGAAGAAAGTAGTAAAAAATCTGTTTTTATAGAATTTACATCGAGATATCACATTTAGCTCACAATGTGATAAAGAAAGCGTTTAAATGCAAATCAAAGTGAATAAAACACAAATTAAACATCCACTATTGAGGTTTTCCGTGAGGAAGTCGAACTCAGCAACACGCGTACTGCTTACGTTATGCACATTCCCACCACATTGAGTCTCACCTCGGCAAGAAACAACTACAAGCAAAAATTGCAATAGCATTTCTCTTCAGTCAACTTCATTTCCATAATGTTACTTCACATGCTCTTTTTTACGGAGGCCATCTTTTTATGAGCAGTAAGAGATGCGCAATGCAAAACCAGGGAATCACCTTAAGTGAACTAAGGCCCTGTTCAGATGCCGCTCCACTCATGTTCCGAACCTAACTGAGTTTGGTTCGACTTTGGAGCGACATTGGCGCGACATCTGATTCAGACAGCGCACCGTGTGTCAAACCTAATCTTTATTTCATGTACGGAGAAAGAAAAAATTATCATAATGTATGCATCAGATTCGGCACATGAGAAGAACGCTGTATGAATCACCTGCCGCTCCAATGTCGAATAATGCGACAGACCCTGTCAAACTTAACGTTTTTGCCACACCAACTTAAAACTGCTGTACCAAACTAATTCAGACGCCGCTCTTTTGCCGTACTTAATACCTCAGTAAGCTAGGTTTGGCACATGAGTGGAGCGGCGTCTGAACCAGGCCTGAGCAACTTAAGCCCATCAACTATTTTACAATAACTGAGCGAATCCTCTCACGCTGATTGGCCGAGAGCTATAGTCTATGAGAGTATAGACCATGCAAATGACATAACATGTCGCTCAGTGCCAGTTGTTTTGTTTTTGGTTTTTCGTAAAAAAATAAATGTTACTGTAAAAAACAAATCAACCACAACTTTCTATGGTCTACACTCTTATAGACCATAGAAATGACGCCATAAAATGTTCAAAACTTTGCAGTGTAACCACATGCCTGAGGCTCGTGGTTCCACTTGAGTTTTGAACGCTTTATGACATCATTTCTATGGTTTATAAGAGTGTAAACCATTGAAAATTGTGATCGATTTGTCAAACATATACTCCCTTGCTTAACACACAGCTTGATCAATTTAAACGATGTGTAATATTTTAAAACAGGTTAAAGTAGTCATTTATTCTTTGCTTGTTCCCCTGACAATTTCATGAAGAATATCAAAAGAAGAATGAGTATTTAGACGTTCATTTTCATGGTTCTAATATTAGTTTACTTAAGACAATCTGACAAATTATTTGGTGAGTTTATGTCAATCCAGTACGTACGCTTTCGTTTTCTCTTTGATCTTAGTGATTTTAAAACCTTACACAATGATACTGACGAAATTATTGTGCTTTGAATCCTCTCCTTGGACATAATCTCTAAAAGTCTTATTGATAACTACGCTTCTAGAAGATAATGGGAATTAATACAATGCTCACCAAAGGGAACAAGTTCTGGTCTTTTGTCGAATTCTAAAGGAACTCTGTGGAGTTCAGTCTGGAGAATTTGTGTGTGGTTATTCAGGCTCAAAGAGTTAAAAAATTAACACTGTCTCATCAGACATTCAGGCCACAAAAGAAATTTTTAAAAAGGAGAAATGATTGCTAAGGAAAAAACTATCGGTTGATTATTAGATTCCCCTAATTTTGAATCAAAGAAATGCATAGGGAACAGTGCAGAGATTATGCATTCTGATATTAGGATTTACAGAGTTTACAAAGCATTTTAAATGAAAAGTGATCTAAAATTTATGAACAAAATGGTCCAGAATGGTACACTAAACACGTTAAGTCTGTCAGGCTGTCAATGTAGTCAAACAGTTGACTGATGTCATAAGTGATGGATGGAGTGCTTGGATTGCTTCTTTTAAGGTATTCTTCAAATATCTTGCATACACCTGAAATCAACAAAAAACAGAATTTTATTAATTTATTAAAATAATTTTATTGTTTATTCTCCCTCCACTCTATAATTCAAGGAATACAAAACTGTTACCCCAAAATCTTTTACCAAGGCAGTGCAAGAAAAAAAACAGACCTCGCTAACGGAGCTCCCTTGGGACCAGGAAATGTTCACTTAGTAGGGGTGTCCGCTTTAGGGTGATAACAAATGAAGTGTTTTTATGTCCCTGGTACATGTACCATAATAGCCTGCAGCACAGATGGAACTAAATTTTTGGCTGAATCTGTCTGCGAAACCGTCCTAAAATCCTTGTTCTGGGCTCCAACTGTGTACCAGGATTCGAGCATGCATCATGATTGGCCTGTTAACCCTTTAAGCCCCAGTATCCACATACAAATTCTCCAAACTGATCTCCATACATTTCCTTTAAGAATTTGTTGAGAGAATTTAATAAAACATCAAGGCATTTTCTCTTTCGTGATCATTTTTTACATTCTCACAACCTTATCTCTTGACAATGTATGGACATTGTTAGCAGAAAATTGCTGTTGGTCACTGTTGGGACTTAACGGGTTAAGATTTGCCAATCAGGTTGAAGGAAATTTGAAACATATACAAGTAATTCACTAAGTCTGCTGGGGTTCATTAGATTATGTCTGTGGCACAAGTTTGTACCATGACTGAGTATAATTTTTACCATAAAGGGCTGTCAATAAGGGCCGGTAGTTGGCCCAAACCACCGGCTAGTTAGCCATCTTTAGCCGGCTACTTTCATCTCCTTCTACCATAACTGCTACCAAAAATTAACACCATAAAATAAAATTGTAAAGCATCCGTGTTCGAGTTTTGAATAACATTGAACGCATATTTAAACAGACTGTGAAACGTTTGAATTGTGCAATGTCATGGAATGCCTGCAACATTTCAATGGCATTGTTCCCAGTGTTGCGAGTATTCTGATGAAACAACATAGCATCCGCCGTGAAAATCGCTTGAAATGCCATTTCTGCGACTCTTAATTTCAAAATGTCCCTAGATGCCTTGACCCTCAAGAACTTGTGCCTTTGGTGTGAGTTCCAAAGCCACCTACTATTCATTACTAGCCTGCTACTTGAAAACTTTTTGACAGCCCTGCTATAAGGTGTCCGTTAATAAGGGTTGGACTGTAAGTGATTCCATCAATGTGCCATGATTTCAAATACATGTAGCTGCCATATATAAAATCCTTACAAGTCGTTTTAGCTCCGGGATCAAAATACAAAATAGTTGTCCTTACTTTCCATGCATTCTTCTTTTGTTTCATAGTCAGAGTATGTCCGTGATTCTGGCTTTGAAGTTGGCTGTATGAGGAGGATTGTGTGACTCTATGAGGAAACAAAATTGAAAGAAAGCAGTTCGAGTACAATATAAAATAGGAGCTCTACGCAACTAAGAAGATGATGGCAGCCGTATAACTATCAATGAGGTGCATGGCATGCACAGAAAACTCCAGGGTCAAGCCATTAAACAACCACTCACCTACAAGATTACTGAGACTTGTTAAGGTGATTCCCTAGTAAAAGAACCTAACATAGATTGTAAATGAAACTTGGTACACTGATGTAACAAGTCAAGAAGATGATGAAAAGGTAATAAAAAGTGGGGGTCACCGTGCTCGTTTTGACGTCACAATGCTGACAAATATGGCTATTTTGGACCCTTTGACAAAAACCGCGCGCAGCCCAAAACTAGACAAAAAGGAAAGATTTTTTCAATGATGCATGTGGTATCGCACAGAATTTGACTTTAATGTATTGTTTATCCCCTTACCATAAAAAATGCCTTTTAATGCCCTTGTTTTTACTTTACGCTCCAAAGTAGAATTAAATTGGACACGCGCTATTCGACACGTGATAGCTCAATCCGTACAATTTAGTAGAATTGCCAAAAAACTGAACATAGATTAGTGCCAATTTTTTTCTCATCGAAAGGAAGCACTGTCCTTATTAAAATCATGAAATAAAAAATGGGGGTCACCGTGCTCGTTTTTGCGGTAGAGCTGCAGAGAGTGCGAGCCAAATGCATTTTCCTTGACTTTTGAGAGAGGACTGGGGTGAGTTTCAAAATAGAATGTATGTGAAAGGGGGAAGAAAGTAGTAAAAAATCTGTTTTTATAGAATTTACATCGAGATATCACATTTAGCTCACAATGTGATAAAGAAAGCGTTTAAATGCAAATCAAAGTGAATAAAACACAAATTAAACATCCACTATTGAGGTTTTCCGTGAGGAAGTCGAACTCAGCAACACGCGTACTGCTTACGTTATGCACATTCCCACCACATTGAGTCTCACCTCGGCAAGAAACAACTACAAGCAAAAATTGCAATAGCATTTCTCTTCAGTCAACTTCATTTCCATAATGTTACTTCACATGCTCTTTTTTACGGAGGCCATCTTTTTATGAGCAGTAAGAGATGCGCAATGCAAAACCAGGGAATCACCTTAAGTGAACTAAGGCCCTGTTCAGATGCCGCTCCACTCATGTTCCGAACCTAACTGAGTTTGGTTCGACTTTGGAGCGACATTGGCGCGACATCTGATTCAGACAGCGCACCGTGTGTCAAACCTAATCTTTATTTCATGTACGGAGAAAGAAAAAATTATCATAATGTATGCATCAGATTCGGCACATGAGAAGAACGCTGTATGAATCACCTGCCGCTCCAATGTCGAATAATGCGACAGACCCTGTCAAACTTAACGTTTTTGCCACACCAACTTAAAACTGCTGTACCAAACTAATTCAGACGCCGCTCTTTTGCCGTACTTAATACCTCAGTAAGCTAGGTTTGGCACATGAGTGGAGCGGCGTCTGAACCAGGCCTGAGCAACTTAAGCCCATCAACTATTTTACAATAACTGAGCGAATCCTCTCACGCTGATTGGCCGAGAGCTATAGTCTATGAGAGTATAGACCATGCAAATGACATAACATGTCGCTCAGTGCCAGTTGTTTTGTTTTTGGTTTTTCGTAAAAAAATAAATGTTACTGTAAAAAACAAATCAACCACAACTTTCTATGGTCTACACTCTTATAGACCATAGAAATGACGCCATAAAATGTTCAAAACTTTGCAGTGTAACCACATGCCTGAGGCTCGTGGTTCCACTTGAGTTTTGAACGCTTTATGACATCATTTCTATGGTTTATAAGAGTGTAAACCATTGAAAATTGTGATCGATTTGTCAAACATATACTCCCTTGCTTAACACACAGCTTGATCAATTTAAACGATGTGTAATATTTTAAAACAGGTTAAAGTAGTCATTTATTCTTTGCTTGTTCCCCTGACAATTTCATGAAGAATATCAAAAGAAGAATGAGTATTTAGACGTTCATTTTCATGGTTCTAATATTAGTTTACTTAAGACAATCTGACAAATTATTTGGTGAGTTTATGTCAATCCAGTACGTACGCTTTCGTTTTCTCTTTGATCTTAGTGATTTTAAAACCTTACACAATGATACTGACGAAATTATTGTGCTTTGAATCCTCTCCTTGGACATAATCTCTAAAAGTCTTATTGATAACTACGCTTCTAGGAAGTGATCGAACAAAGCACCCAAAACAAAACAATTCCATCGCAGCTTGCTCGAAGATTCAATGCAATCGTGACTCAGTACAAGTTTCATTTGGGCCTGTAGCTGCAAAACCAAAGCAGCATACTCTACGTAAAACTATGATAGAGTCTACCAAATATTTCACTCACCATTTTCACTGAAAACTTGTAAAATTAACGGAGAAGTTTTCGGTCCAGACACGTGAACTCTCTGCTCGGCGCTTCGCCTTGCACTTAGTTTCCATATATGGAAAGAAAACTCATCAACGCAGGAGAAACTGGGTTCTAGTAATTTGTCCAATCAAATGTGATGTTAGAAAAACAGACCTCTGTTTGAAATTCCAACACAAAGATCGAGTGTTCCTCATGAACAATTCAACATGGTTTTCCAGGTAAGTTTTAAATTACTTGGCTTTTTTCAGAATTTGTTTCGGTACGATTTGACTTTAAGAAGTGATTTATATTTCTATAAGGTGAATATTTCCTGTTGCAGCGTTCACCGGTGCGAAGACACGAATTTGACAGTTCCGACGAAGAGGAGAATGATGCTGTTGAAAATCTCACACCTTTACAAATAGATTGGTAAAAGAAATTTATTACGGTATTCAGTCATTATCATAATTGGTTGTAATGCTCTATTCAAGCCTCTTAAAGTCAGTTTGTACATATTGTGATGTTATCAGCCTGAATGAATCTGCCTCTGGTTGGATTTCTCTACCTTAATTTTTGTTGTAAGCTTACTGAAATTTACTTACTTTACTTTAAGTAACGGACACCCTAATTAATATGACACCCTGGTTTAACAATGACATGACCGTCAGTGAATTCGCCAATGCAACCAACTTTGCAAACATTAATGTTCGTCAATAACTTGTGAATTAAGTACTCCATGAATGTTTGGTCTGGAATCAGGGATCCAGGAAACTTTAAAATACCAGATGTGCATGTACATTTAGCTGCATTAATTTTCAACCTGCCCTAGACAAGGAACATACCGTCAAGCCAGGTCAAGCGTACCCCTAGCCTCCCATTCTCTTATATTTCCCAGAACTGATGCATAAACTTACATAATACCCTCAAATTTTCATACCCCTATCTGTGGTGGTGGAAAGTAAGCAACCTTCCCCCCCCCCCCCCCCCAATGGTCCCTCCCCCCCCCCAAACACCCCCCCCTCTTAAAATCTATGCCCTTTACCTCCACAGGGGGAGGAACAAAGGAAAAACAAACAAAAAAACTTATTTTTTTTGTTTTTCGACAAAGAGGAACAAACAT